TTAGGCAGGAGAGACTGGGGAGTTCAGTGACAGTGAGGGAGAATCAGTGATCCAGAAGCCACTGCACCATGAGCATCTCTGCACTCAGTCCCACCAGATTCCCAGGTGGCATCTCTGGGCTCCTCCAGGTGGCCTCCCTGCTTGGCCTGATTCTGCTACTCTTCAAGGCAGCCCAGCTCTACTTGCACAGACAATGGCTGCTCAAAGCTGTCCAGCAGTTCCCATGTCCACCCTCCCACTGGCTCTTCGGGCACAAAAAGGAGGTAGGAAGATCGACAAGGTAGTAGGAAGAGAGGGAAGGATGGAACTCTAAGACACTGGTAAGCAAATTCACAGGACAAAACCTCCAAATTCAGTGCTTCACATGCTATGCAAGTACTTTACTACTGAGCTACATCCCTAGTCCTACAGGACAAAGCCTCTTCTATGATGACCATATGTCTTCCAAGGACCACCCCTACATTACTCTCAGGCTGGGATCATCAAAATAATGAAGAGCTCACTCCTTCACATGAAGCCTGTCTTGCTATTACTCAGCTCTGTCATATGTTTCTTTCTTATGCAGATCTGTTGTATACCAGGTCAGCCTTGTACTTAGAAGACTGTGGATGGTTATACTTGAGTTTCCTTTTCTCCAGGCTGAGCATCTCCAGTAGCCTCAGCTGTTCTCAAAAAACAAGACTTCTAGACACTTCCCTGCACCTATCACTCAATTCTTTCTTTATACCTGGCCCTGAGCTTGCCAAGGAATAGAGACATCAGTTTGTTAGAATTTCTGCCCTGTGAGTTTCTTGGTGTGGGCAACAATAGTCACAAATCTCAGGAAGTATCAGATCACAGAAAAATCTCAGAAGGTATCTTCTGGGGTGGGTAGAAGATGTTAGTTGAAAAGATCACTCACTACATTTGCCTGAGAGAAAGGAATTTTCCAGAATGGATGATTTTAAGAAGGTGTAATGTTTGCAGTGGTAGACACACATGAGGTATAGAGCTGATGATGTCCTGCAGGTGAAGAGGATAACTATTTGAGCTGCTTGATTAAACAGGAAATATTTACTTGATTTTCCTATAAACAGAACTGTGAGCCTTTTGAGTTCAGCACACTCTGTTCTTTCCATACCAGAAGGGATCCAGGTATGTGTGTGTGGGCTCAACAAGGAAGCAGGGTAAGGAGGAGCCAGAGGTCTAAGTATGGATAGTGCTGATCCCCTGTTCTGGTCAGTCCTGAGGAGAGAAAGGGAAATCTATGCCACTCTTTTCTACAATGAGATAAAATTATTGTCAGCAAAGGGAACTGAATGTGGAAACTATTATAATTAGCTAGAGAGAAATATCTAAACTCTGATAGCCAATATTTGATCATACAAATATTAATACTAATGACTTCCAGATCATTTGTTGAATTTTTTTATTTATATATTAATTGGTACATTTTAGGTATACAATACATTTACATTTATCATTGGGTGTTTGTACCTGAACATGATGTATCTTAGTTCTTATTTTTTCCCCCATTACCTATGTGCCCTTCACCCCCAACACCAGATCATTTGTTGATTTTTAAGATATTGTGACTTTTGTTTCATTTACTGTCACAAGCTGAATGATGCTTTTGAGTGGCCTAGGTTATTTATAGTATCAACTTCTCTACAAAAATATTACTCGTGGTTGTAAATCACATCAGAACTTCTATGGGATAACAGCAATTTCACCAGATATTTCTATCTCTTATAATACTGAGACTTTTATTTATTCGCTACCTCTATTATTGGCTAATCAAGAGACAAGAATGCCACAGTAAGTAGACTAAACCAATGGTATGACACAGGAGCATGATTTGTAGGTAGCAGACTATTTTATCTGTCCCTTACAATAGGAATTTTAATGAACACTCACTCCTCCACTGTCCCACATGCTGTCATTGGTTCCTTCATATGCTTATTCATTTTTTTAAAAATAAGGCATGATTTAAACAAGTCATGCTGTACACAGGGCTCTAAGAACACAAAGATGATATATAAAAAAGGTGAGTTTGCCAAAACAGAATTAAAGACTAGAAAACTGAGTAAAAATATACTAGAGAGACACCCAGGAGCACAAGGAAATGTTACTGTTTGTAAGCAGAGTCCGCTTTAATGTAATCACATGGGCAACTGAACATTGGTTTCCTCATTCTTCAGCAAAACAAATAAGCTAATAATCTGTCCTTGACCACAGAATGGCCTTGAGCATTACATAAATGTATCATTTTGCCAGGGCTACCATAACAAAGTACATAGACTGGGTGGGTAAAGTATCAGAAATGTATTGACAAGGCTGGCTCCTTTTGTGAGCTCTACAGAAGCCCTTGCTGTGTACCTGTCTCCTTGGCATGTAAATGGCCCTCTTCTCCCTATCCCTTCATACTGGCTTCTCTCCATTCACATCACTGTGTCCAAAATTCTTCTTTTTATAAAGACATCTTTACACTGGATTAGAGCCCACCCTAATGATCTCACTTTATATTAGTTACTCATATGAAGACTGTATGTCCAAATAATGTCACAACTGATATATTAACTGTTAGCATTTCAACATATGAAACAATGAAGTACATAAATTACCTGTAACTCTAATATAAGTCTATGGAAAAGTTTTGTGCACTACAGAGTTTGTCTCTGAACATTGATTATTTGCTGTGTGCAAGGTTCTAGGGACACACATGGGTGGCACAATAGGGAGACAAGACTGAGCTTAGGTCAAGTCCAAGAGAAGCAGTAAGAGTCTGGATCAGAACCTATGGGCTCAAAAACAGTCTGAGTCTCTGATCCTTGTGGATAGGTCCAGTACTACAGCCCCATTGTTGTTCAAGCATTCATCCTCGCCCAAAGAAATGAACCTTTAAAAACAGCATTATTAAATTTCCTTCCCTCCATAACAGTTCCAAAAGGATCAGGAGCTCCAACAAGTTTTAAAATGGGCAGAGAAATTCCCAAGTGCCTGTCCTCGCTGGTTGGCTGGGAGTAGGCTTTCTGTTCTGGTCTACGATCCTGACTACATGAAGGTGATTCTGGGGAGATCAGGTGAGAGTGAAACCCCATCCCAATAGGAGCATCTCTTAACACCTGAGTCCATGCCCTAGAATCTGTAAAATTCCAGGAGACAGTGGCAGTGTAAATGTCAATATGTGAATCTCCTGCCTACCTCCCTTTTCTCCCAGCCTAACACCAATAATATTTATTCAATATTGAATGTTTAAAATCTCTCTGTGCATCTGAATTTGTTTTCTTCCTTCCTTAAATGAGGTGATATGTTAGCATGTTGCTCCATGTATTAAAAAGTAACTTCATATTCACAGGATGTTGGTATAAAAGCTCTAATTTTCTCCCATCTTCAGTAATAAAACTATCAGCCATTGAAGAAAAACCACAAGGCTCTGTCTTATTCTTGGGCACTGAATATAGGGCTTGTGTTTTTCACCAACTCCTCATCCCTGTCACTGGGGTGTTCAGCTGCTGGTACTCAGAAGTGGCATTCCTGAGCCCAACTGACTGATAGGACAGAGCTAGAAGAAGATGAGAGGCTATGGGAGGAAACATGGGACAAATTGCCAACTGAGACTCATCAGGAACTCATGGAAGCTCATTGCCTCAACTTTAGCTCTCTTAAGGCTGCATTATTTGGTCAATGTCAATTTCCTATAAAGCTTTTGTCTTTCTTTCAGACCCAAAAGCTCATGGTATCTACAAATTTGTATCTCCCTGGATTGGTATGTACACCTAAACATAATCACTCCCCAGTTACGGTACAGAAGATATATCTCTCAGACCTACAGAGAGCAAGCCCTGATGGGCCACCACTGTAGTGGCCAATCTGTAAATCAAGACTTATTTTTCTCTAACTGAATCCTGATAATATCCTCATGCTGGTATGAGTCGTCCTGAGTCTCAGATTCTTCCATATTTCTTCTGACATCTCTACATTCTCAGACTAATATTTACTTAAGTCCTTCCTTGCTTTGTCTTCAACATTTCACAAACTTTATGTCTCAACTCTCACAATCATATAAATTTACCAGAACAATGGGAAGATTTACCTTCTTGAAAACTATCAGTCTTTACTGTCTTCATCCAGAAAATTCTGCCTTCCCAGTTTTACTTCCCCAGAACCTCACTATTTAGACCTCCCAAATTGTCCCCATTCTTCCCTCTGATCTCATCGCTGATACACTGATGCACAAACACATCTGCTGCACAGGCTATGGATTGCTCCTGTTGAATGGGCCAACGTGGTTCCAGCACCGGTGGATGTTGACCTCAGCTTTTCACTTTGACATCCTGAAGCCTTATGTGGCTGTCATAGCCAACTCTGTCCAAGTCATGCTGGTGAGTCTGTCATTTCCACACATCCACTCACAGCATACATTCATATTCTACTCTCTAACACAGACAGCCCTCAGCCATAATCACATGAATAACACCCTCAGGTCATTACTGAGTTAGTTCCTCAAATCAGATATGACCACAAGGCATAGTGGTACATGCCTGTAATCACAGCACTTGAGAGACTGAAGCAGAAAGATCATAAGTTGAGGCCAAGCCTGGATTCATAGTGAGTTTTGGTCCATCCTGATCTATACAGTAAGACCCTCTAAAAAATAATAATACTTAGTTGGGACAGACAGGAGCCTGACATCAAGATTAAGCCACACTGTGCTCATCATCCAAGGCAGAGAGTCATGGTGGACACAGGCCCCACCTCCCACTTCCAGGTCTCTATTACAGGAAACAGAAGTATTAAATCCTACCAGGCAACAAGACTACTTGTCCCTGGGTGTACTGGGCAATGGCAACTTCAGTAGCTCAAGGACATCACAGTGTACCATTCAATTACCTGGAGTCCAGGGCTTCTGCATGGATTTTGAGTTTGAGTGACACATGCAATAATATGGACACCAGCTCTGCATTCTCACAGCCAACCTGCTATACCATCATATTCCAAGACTTGGATTTCTGGCCAAACAGTTCTCACCAAACTTTTAATGAGTAAACAGTAGTCAAAGTCCCTGATGGCCTCCATTAGAAGTGCCCATAGTGGAAATTTTGCCTTGACACATTTACCTTCTAAAATTGGAATCCTACCAATCCCTCAGGCCAAGTTCAGCTCTCACAATATTGTAGAGGTTTCTTCCTCTTTATATATAACTGGTTGCCAAAATTCAAAATTTGTTTCAGATTTTATGGGATGGTATATTTAAGTTAAATAATTGTGCAAATATAGATGTCATTTAACAAATGTTTGCTTTTGCAGTCTTGATCATCTGCCTTCTAAAGTAAGGAACTTAGAACAGGACATCTGAAAATATAGGGGAAAAGTTTAGTCTATTTAGCAGATAATTTCTGGATAAAAGAAGGTCAATGCCACCTTCTGAAAAATAGGACAGATGGGAGCAGCTCATCAGTCAGGACTCCCCTCTGGAGATCTTTCAACATGTTTCCTTGATGACACTGGACTCGATCATGAAGTGCGCCTTCAGCCACAAGAGCTGTGCCCAATTAGACAGGTCGGTAACAACCTTCATCTACAAAGTCCTTTTTACTATTGGTGTAGACCCAACTTCTTTTTACTACTGAAAGAGAGGTGGGACAGCTTGAATGTCCATCTCCACACAAAGCAAGATTCTGACTCCAGCCCTGGGCCAACTCTAAATCCTGACCAGATTCAACACTGGCCCCAGTGACAGACCCTTGATCCCTAGCTTGACTGGAAGCCTGGATATTTATGCCATGTTCTAAGGATCTGAGAGTCACAAGGATTGTAAAACAGAAATAACATGTGCCTCGGTATCTTGTGTCCCCACCATTAACAGAATCACCACTCTACATCCATCCAGATCAGGCCTCTTCTGAGTTCAATCTGTTCTGCATCTTCTTTCTCAGGAATTCTCGCTCCTACATCCAAGCCATTGAAGACCTAAAAGATCTGAGTTTTTCCCGGATTAGGAGCGTTTTTCAACAGAGTGACATCATCTACAGTTTGTCTTCAAATGGCCAATTGTTCAAACAAGCCTGCAAGCTTGCCCATGAGCACACAGGTTCTATCTCCCGTTTCCCCTCCTCTACCAGGCTCAGACCAATAGAGTTGGCCATGACCCCTCAGGCGGAGCCAGGGTCACTTGTGGTCCTGGAGGACCTGGGACACACTTATGTTGGTACATCACTTACAAAATGTGATATTAGTGTTTCAGGTGGTATGCAGGGGATTACTTGTGCATTCTCATTGGTGATGTTGAATGAGACCTTCTCATTGGTGATGCTGAATGAAAAACATTTGGTAGAGGTGGATAGAGACTCAATGGGTGTGCTCTGATGGGACAGGCTCCATGGGTGTGCTCCTGCAGTGAGACCTGACCTACATCAAATGGTAGTTTAGTCTCCCAAATCCTGACCCACACACCCACACACACCTTGAACTCTGCAGGGCTTCTAGATGGGGTAGAGGGGCAGACATATGGGGCCACTCTGTGTTGCTGTAGCTCTCATTTCTATCTGGTAACCTCTGTCCTGCAATAGACCGAGTGATCAAGCAGAGGAAGTCTCAGCTGCAGAATGAGAGAGAGCTAGAGAAGATCAAGAGAAAGAGGCGCTTGGATTTCTTGGATATCCTCCTGTTCGCCAAAGTGAGTGTGTATGGGAGAGGCCTAAGCCTTTGCCCAGAAGCACAAAGTGAGGGACAAACTCTGATTGCTTACCCATGTCTGCCCCCAGATGGATGATGGAAATGGCTTCTCTAATAAGGATCTGCGTGCTGAAGTGGACACATTCATGTTTGAGGGCCATGATACCACAGCCAGTGGTATCTCCTGGATCCTCTATGCTCTAGCTGCACACCCTGAGCATCAACAGAAGTGCAGGGAGGAGGTCCAGACTATCCTGGGGGATGAAGCCTCTATCACTTGGTGAGTAATAGCTCAAGGTGTGGGAGAATACAGCCTTTTTTGTAGGGGAAGACTTTGGGATTTCTGGACCCTTCCTGCCCTTCAAGATGAGCTTCATTCCAGGGAACACCTGGACCAGATGCCCTATATGACCATGTGCATCAAGGAGGCCTTGCGGCTCTATCCACCTGTACCAAGTGTGAGCAGAGAGCTTAGCAAACCTGTCACCTTCCCTGATGGACGCTCCTTACCCAAAGGTATGACCTTCTTAGACTCACTTAGGATTCCAACAGGGACAAGGGAAGATTGGAAGTCCATATGTCCTTCAGGAGTTCTGAACCGTGCAGAGTCTCTCTTTCCCCATCAGTAGATTGAACCTTTACCTTGAAGTTAGAAAAGGGCTTATGAAACTCTTGATCCAGAGCTTGAATTCATCAACATCTTATCAAGTCAATGCGAAGCTCTAGATTAAATATTGGCCTCAGGACATTAACCCTGAAATTCCCATTCCTTGAGTTGTGTGGAGCAGAGAGAATCAGGTAAGAGCTAAGGTGATGTGGCTCTTTCCATTTATGAAAGCAAATATGGGAGATTATGGATTCCCATGTCATGCACAAAATGTGGTCCAGTCTCTGAAGCACCCTTGGGTTAATTGAAGAGAGCAGCTGATGATCTGAGGCCCCTTGTGGAGAGAAATCACCCATGGGCTCATTCAGCATTGAGTCTGATCCCAGACCTGCCACATCCATCATGTGTGACCATGGGGAAGATCATCAGTCTCACTGAGATTTCAGTATTTGATCTGAAAAATGATATAAAACAGAGTCTTTCTTGGAGGATGTTTGTGTATAGTGAGGGAGCTAATGTATTTTTTGCAATGGCTCCTGGACAGGATTTGATGAATTTGAGTTGTCATAAGCAGTGATGCTCCAGTTCTTTTTTCCTCTTGTTTATCAGTTCACCATTTTTTGCTCCTCGCCTGTTATAAGTGCTTTGCCATGGCCACCCTTGTTCCCCATAATAATATCATCCTGCTAAAAGTGATGATTTGCCTCCCCGAAGCTTTTTCTGTATATATGTCCCTTACATGGCCATGAGGCCATGGGCCTACCTCCTGGATGTAATCAATCTTCTCTCTGTCTCCTACCTGTGCCCAACAGGTATCATCGTCTCACTTTCCATTTATACCCTTCACCACAGTCCAAAGGTGTGGCCAAACCCAGAGGTATGAGGGCCCTGGAGGAGTGGAGGGGGTGACTTGTCAGAATGAATCTCCCCTTTTTTTCCTCTTGCTCTCCCTGCTCCCACCTCTGGGCTTCCCTTTTCCTTATGGTTTAGAAGCAAGAGCTTGACTCCTCTCTGAACTGGCCTTGGCTATCTCTCCTCAGGTGTTTGACCCTTCTCGGTTTGCAGTGGATTCTACCCAACACAGCCACTCATTCCTGCCCTTCTCAGGAGGATCAAGGTATGGCATCTTGTGTGTGCTAATGTGTGTGTGGGGGGGGGGGTTCCTCTTGGCACATATCTGATATTTGTGACCCTCTAGGTTTCTATGTGGCATCTTCAGGTATACCTTTGTTTGCATTTGAGGGTAAGAGGCATCATGTGGGTAAGTCTGTGTCTAAAAGAAATGTGGCATTTTAGGACACACCATGGAGATTTTCACACATTGGTCTTCCCAGCAGCCAGGCAAAAATTCATGTCAGTACATGTTTCAAACTTCTATGTATTTATGTAGGTGTTTTACTCACTTTTGAAGTTTGAATTTTAAGACTTAGATTTTTTCATGTAAGCTAGCCTTCAAGTGTTAGTTTTATCCAACTACTAGGCATCTCAAAGGTTGACTCTATCCCTTCCCATATTCTCAGCGCAACCCACTACCTTTTCTTCTTAATTCATGAGTCACTGTAATGAACCACTGAAATGTTCATATATATATTTAGAATTCCACCAGTCTCACTGGTGCTACTGTTGAAGCCACATGTCTGAAAGTTTGCTGTCCATTATGTATAGAGAAATGGACAATAGTGAATGTTGTATCACACATTTTGAACTTCTGGCTCCCAAAATTTTACCTCATATTGATACTACATATCTGTGTCAGCTAACTCAGTCAGAAAGATACTGTAAGTGACAAGGGATCGCTACACATTCACTTTCACAAAAACATAAGAATGAGCCACTAACCTGCCTCTGAGAGAAAACTCACAACTTAGTTATGACGGCAGCCTATACTGGGATATACAGTAACAAAAACGCCTGAAATAATTGCTGAGCTGGATCAGCACATGCCAAGTGGTTGCTCTGAATATCATGAGGGCTGTAGGATTCATCTTGTGGAATACACATTGGTAAGATACTTGTAAATGATTAATGCAAAGAAGATTTTTCTGAATCAATTCTGTGAATTTCACCATGGTGCATAAACTTTTACAGAAAAGGCTTTAAGTATGTTGTTTTTCCAGAAACCAGTTTTCTAGGATAAGTTTCCCTAAGTTTGAATGCTCCCTTTTATGCATTAGATAGAAATCTTGACACTATCATTGGAGGACAGGAGAGTATGAGATAGCTCAATTACTAGCTAGAAAAATTTGCCCTCTGTGTATTCCTTTGCATTTTATTTTATTTCAGTTCAACTACTTTCATGAAAATACAAAAGTATTTGAAAGTACATTTATCTGTGCCAAGTTCTATGCTAAGAAATAGGAACATAGAGTGGGAGGATTCTTCCCCTGCTTCAATAAGTAGAACAAAAAGGTGCATTACAGAATTAGACACCTATATACAATACAAATCTCATTCCTTGCCTCATTCTTTCACTCTGTCATGTGGAATGTTCCAGGTTCCCGACACTGTCCCAGCCCCTGGATTGTGGTGTGTCCTTGAAGAAAGCACTGATGGTTCATTGGGGGCCCAGTGGGGAGAGGAATGGTGGGAGATGGGTGGAGGCCAGGTGGTCATTGACCTGAGCCTTGAGGATGTTCAGGCAGAGGTGGAGAGAGGATTTACTCAATGACTTTGATGTGATCAAGGATGTAGTGTTGGACAGGCAAAAAGTGGGTGAGTTGACAGCCCATAGAAGGGGTGATGTAGCTGAGATATTTGGACACAGTCCTGCTTGATGGAGGGCATGGGAAGGCCAGTGGGGTGGGGGAGATGCACACAAGAGAATTCTAGAAGAGAAAACTCAAGATGGCAGGCAGGGACACTTCTGAAGTAAAATTAGAAGGCTACTGATGCTGCTGTTCAGTGAGGATAAATGGAAGGCAAGATGTTGATTATTGAGTGAAAGGCAGATGGGGTTCAATTTAAGGATCCTCATCCTAAGAACCTCTCCACTGACACCTGATTGCTCTTACAAATGTAGATGTTTTGTCCACAGAGACAGTGATCCTAGGGAGTGTAGCCCACTCTTCCCTGTGTGACACTGATTAGTGATCTCCACATTAGGAAACCAAAGACCCTTAGTGAGGAAGTGAACTAACCATGTGGTAGGACTCTGTCCCTTAGACCACTGACTCTGTCCTAAAGGAGATTTCATGCCTCTGAGAGCAGAGGAGGGTCAGGGAGAGCCTTGAAAGAGTGGTGGGAATTGACAAAGGTCAAGAGAGCATGAACCAAGGCCTGGAATAGAAGTTTGAGTGAGAGGAAAGGGGTTGATCTGGGCTCATGAAGGTGCAACCTGGATGCCCAGCTCTGGGCTGGGGCCAGAGCCTGTCCATCTTTGAACAGGGCCTAGGGTAACTTCTCATTTCACTGTCCCTTCCTGGCTCAGGAACTGCATTGGTAAACAATTTGCCATGAATGAGATGAAGGTAGCTGTGGCCCTGACCCTGCTCCGCTTTGAGCTGCTGCCAGACCCCACCAGGATCCCACTGCCTATGGCACGAATTGTGTTGAAGTCCAAGAATGGGATCTACCTGCATCTCAGGAAGCTGAAATGAAATACTCTTGGTGGGGACGAGGACAGCTCTGAGAGTCTCCTGCCTGACATCCCATTTCCCTGTCCCTGTTCCAATCCATTCCTCCACATCCTTCCTTCTATCCTCCCACTGTCTTACCAGCCTGCCCTTGTGCTTCCCATCTTCCTGGAGGTCTGCTTTTAACTCTCCTATCTTCTCCATCTGCTTGTCTGTCTACATGTCTCCCATCTGCCTGCATCTCTGTCCATCTAACCCCTGATTATTTGCCTTCTCTTTAAGAGCCTGACCCTCTAAATTTCTTTTTCCTTTCTGCTGCTTGACTGTCCTTATATGAGCTTCCAAATGCTGGTATAACAAATTAGAAAAAAATCATAGTGGCTTTAAGGGACAAAAATCTCCTCTATAGTTTTCATGATCAGAATTATAATATGTGTTTTACTGAGATACATCCAAAGTAATTGCAGGGCCATGCTACCTCCACAGCTGTTGGTGTGCCTTCACTTTCCTTTTCCATCATGCAAAGCTGCATTCCTGGGCTTGGAGACCTTTCCTCAATATTCAAATTCTACAGCATCTTCAAATCTCTCTATGTCTTCTCCCATCACTTATCTATTAATAAAGATCTTTGTGATCACATTGTACCCACTGCAATAATACGTATGATAAGAACATATTCATAGTTGTCCTGTGATTAGGATCTCTATATCTTGGGATGCCATTATTCAGCCTATCCATTCTCCCACCCAGATTGTCACCCAATCTCTCCATTTAAATCTCTCCTCCATGGTCTCTGGCTACCTGATTATATCTCATTTAAATGTCTCTATCTCCCCCTTCCCTGTAATAAAGTTTCCAATGTCACATGGAGTGCCTATCTCTCTTGGAAGGACAGAAACCCAGGTCCATCTTCAGTCCCCTCTGGAAGAAGAGGAGTCCCTATCTGCCCTGTAGTGTCAGGATCTCATGGCAGCCTGATCCAGCCTACCCTTGCAGGAGGCTTCACCTTATGATCCCTGATGCCCCACATCCACCTAGCTTCTGAGCCTCCCATTGTGGCTATATCTAAACAAAGGAGTCTTCTTTCAGAGCTCAGAGGGAGACACACCTGGCAGGGAAAAAGACCCATGTCTCCATTTTATTCAAAGGTTAACATTTCCCACACTAGATTTTTCAGAATAGGTTCCACCTAGAGCCCATCTTGAGCTGAGCAGGAGATCCTTCTGGTCTGGTCTGGCATGAGAGCCTCAGGGACCCTGTTCTTTACAGACTCAGTAAGATATAGAAAGAGAACCCAGCTTGTTGGTCTCCAGTCACCTGCTGAATGAATGCTTTCATTCATAGGGACTTCAGGCTCCTCGAGAGTCTCCTCAGGAGGCTCAGGGAGTGTACACCTGACCTTCAAGGGTTGGAAGAATCCCAAGTAAGCAAATGAGTCAGCTCCTGAGAGAAGATTTCAGATCTCAAGCAGCTTCTCCAACAAAGGATAGTCCCTTGGCAGTCCCCTGCCTCCTTAGTTGGCCCCTCAGAGGGAGAAGGAGCTTCATCAAACCTGTCATCTTTGATGACTCCCTGATCATTGGTTCCCCTGACCTTGAGGGGGAGGAGATTAGATAGATAGATAGACACATACATACATACATACATACATAGTAGGGAAATCTTTTTCAAATGAATGGGGAAAGAAGACAGGGAGGGAGCATAAAAGGGGAGGAAAAGGGAATAGAAAAAATAATTGATGGGAAAAATAATGATGAAAATAGAGTTTTTGCAAATGGGAAGGGGGCCAAGAGTTGGAGGAAGTAAGAAGGATGAGGAGGTAGGAAATGAGAAAAAGAAAAATTAAGGTGTATTGTGTACATGTACCAAATTCCCCACAATAAATGTACTCATTATGTCCTGCAAACATGTACTAATAAAAATATATATTCTCTAGCTGTTGGATGGAATGTTTTGTAAATGTCCATTAAGTCCATTTGAACTATAATACACTTTAACTCTGGTGTTCCATTGTTTATATTTTTTGGTCTGGATAACGCATTTATTAGTATAAGTGGAGTATTTAAGTAACCCACTATTATTGTAATGTGATCTATCTGTGTTTATATCACATGGTATTTGTTTTATGAACTTGGGTGCACTCATGTTCAGTGCACATATTTACAGTTTTTACATTTTCCTGGTGTATTTTTCCCTTTACCGATGTGCAGTGGCCTTCTTTGTCTCTTCTGAGTAATTTTGTCTTGAAATCTGCTTTGTCAGATATGAGCACAGTTAATCTTGCTTGTTTTTGGATTCCATCTGCACACTCAGAAGTACAAATGGTCAATAAGTATGTGAAAAAATGTTCAGCATTTTGGCCATTAGAGACATGCAAATCAAAACAATACTGACATTGTATCTTACTCCAGAAAGAATAACTACCATCAAAATTCAAAAAATAGCAAATGCTGGCAAGGCTGCAGGGGAAAAGAAACCCTTCTACATTGCTGGTATTAATGTGAACTACTACAGCCACTGTGGAAGTTAGTATGACAATCCTTCAAAAGGCTAAAGCTAGAAATTCCATTTGACCTAGGTATTTCTTTTCTGGGTATCTTCCCAAAATAGTCAAAGACATCAAGTAAATGTGATACATGTCTACCCATGTTTATAGCAGCACAATTCATAATAACTAAATCTTGGAAGTGGCCTACATGTCCATCAACAGATAAATGAATCTTTTCAAGTGTAGCCTTTATACACAATGGAATACTTAGCCATAAAGAAAGATAAATTTGATTTATTTGTAGGAAAATGGGTGGATGTTAACACCATAATAGAAGTGAAATAAACCAGACACAGAAGGCTAAGTATCTTATGGTTTCTTTTACATGAGAAATCCAAAATATAATTTTAAGAGCAAAGTAAGATAAAGATGGTGAAAAATAAGAAAGTATAAACTATGAAGATGGGACAGAGATTTGGTATGGAGGAGATACAAGGATGAGAAGGGAAAGGGAAATTAAAATAATTTAGGTGAGATATGTATATGTAAGTCAATGTCATTGATAACACAGATACAAAAATCCTCAATAAAATACTTACAAACAGAATTCAAAACATCATTAAAAAGATCATACATCATGACCAAATTGGCTTCATCCCAACAATGGAAGAATGGTTCAACATACATAAATCAATAAATGTAATGCACCATCTAAACAGACTCAAGGACAAAAAGCACATGCCCATCTCAACAGATCAAAAAGAGCCTTACAAAATCCAACATCTGTCGATGATTTTTTTTAAACCTGATTTTAAAAAAGGTTTAGAAGGACCTTATCTAAAACTGACAACAGACATATGTAACAAACTCACAGGCAATATCATCCAAAATGAAGAAACATCAAAAGCTTTCTCAGTAAAGCTAGTAATGAAACAAGAGTATCTACTCTCACCACTCCTCTTCAATACTCAAAATGTTAACCAGAGTAATCATGCAAAAGAAAGAAATGAAAGGGAAATGAATAGGAGAGGAAGAAGTGAAACTACTTTCTTTTGTACATGATAAAATCCTTTATATAGAAGACCGCTCCCCCACAAAAAAACTCCACCAGAAGACCATTAGAGCTAATAAACAAATTCAGTAAGGTGGCAGGATACAAAAATCAACAAGCAAAAATCAATAGTGTTCATGAATACAAATAATAAAATATACTGAGAAAGAATTTGGGAAAATAGTTCCATTCATAACAGCTTTAAAAAATTAAATACCTAAGAATCAACCAAAATAAGGAGGTGAAAGAACCCTATAATTCAAACTATATTCCTCTGAAGAAAGAGATTGAAGGGGATTCTAGAAAGTGGAACAACATCCCCTGTTCCTGGGTAGGCAGAATTAATATTGTTAAAATGACCATAATACCAAAAATGATGTATAGAGATCATGCAATTCCTATTAAAATACCAACAACATTCTCCACAGAACAATAAAAAGTGGTCCTAAAATATACATGCAATCAGAAAACACCCAGAATAGACAAATCAATCCTGATTTGTCCCTGGACAAAAATAACGATTTCCTAAGTGGAATTCCAATAGCATAAGAAATAATACCAAGGAGGACCTGAGTCTCATGGAACCAGCACTCCAAAGAATTTTACACAATATCCTAGGAACAGACATTGAGGATCACAACCCCAGGAAGCAAAGCAGAATGAACCCATCT